GCATAGTCAATAAAGCATAGGTAAACATCTTTCTGATATTCTCTGCTTCCAGCCAAGATCCACCGGACATCAGCAATGAAATCTCTCATTCCACGGCCTCTTCTGAATCCAGCTTGAATCATCAAAAGTAGTGTGTTAAAATCTCCCATTATTACTGTTGAGCTGTCTATCTCTTCAAATCTATAAGATTTTATTTTATGTATTTTGAGTCTCTTTTATTGGGAGCAAAAATATTTATTAGGGTTATATCAGCTTGTTTTATTGACCCTTTAATCATGTGATAATGTCCTTTGTCTCTTACACTGTTTTTGGTTTTGTTTTTTTTCAGATTTTAAGTGTCATTTGTTTTTTTTTTTTAAGGTTTTTATTGTGAATTGAGTAAAGTTTACAGGCCAGATCATCAGTTTTACATTCAACAAATCATATATATACCTTGTTTCATTACAATGATTATAATCCCCTCCATGTACCATAAGTTAACAGGATTTCTCTCTATCTACTTTAGCTTTTTTAAAAAAACAAACACTAAGGCATATATAAAAATTTACATCTCCAAAGGGCACATTCTGCAAATCTGCCTCCTAACCACCAGCTCTTAGTCCCTCTCTTCCCATGAATCTAGAGTCCTCAACCGCTCCCTCTTTCCACGTCCTCATCTCTGCCTCCATCTCTGGCTTCTCTGCTTCTCTGGATAAGGTCCTGCATTCTGCTTGTGCGCTTCTCCCTCGATGGTCCTAGGGTCTTCTGTTTCTGGACTGTAAGATTAACCACTCCCCTGTTTTGTTACAAAACCTCTATCTTTACAATTGTGACAGTCACAATTAGTCATGATAACAATTATTCACAATTGAATCATATGAATCTTATCCCCATCTCTTTTCACCAGACCCATCTAGACAAGATGAAATCTATTCAGTGGGGACTCTTTCTTTTCCCCCATACTCTTAAACTAAACTCCCTCTTGAAACCTTGTAAACCAGTCACTTTCATGGCTTTATCGCCCCCTCATTTTAGGTAGCCAATGTCTAAGTTGCCCGTCCCTATATACCCTGTATACAGAGGGGATAGCATTGATACTTGATGTGAAAACTCCCTCCCTCTTTGTTGGTATTTAGAGTTACTACCTCCATGAGTTTAAGTCAGGTTCATCAAATTGTAGCACTTTACCCTTGTTTCCTTTATCAAAAAAAATTTTTTTTGTGTGTAATCTTCCTCTAGTTGAATTCTGATTGTCAAGCCATCGAGGCTAGGTAAAATGGGTACTGTCTGCAAGTTTGGGTGTTCTTGTGCATCTCCCCTCACTTCATATCAGCTGGATGCTTCACTCTCAGCTCAAGCCCTCTGTGGCTATGTCCTTGTCCATGGGCTCAAGTGTCCTCAGGGCTCACCACACTTTGGACCAACCAGCCCTTCCTCTTCTCTCTCTCATCTCCAGGTAAACAGGAGTCAATAGACTGTAGTTGAACTCAGCCCATTTCTTCATTGCTGCCTTTCCCCCTCTTCCACTCACTAGTAGACCAATGTGGTTGCCAGCAAGCTTACATGCTAGTTTGTGTGTTCCCTTTGAGTTTCAGTCTTAGGAAGGAAGTTTGTCCTGAAGGAACTTGATTGCTAGCCTTGATGTCTTCCTGGCAAACAGCTTGCTTATTCCTATAGTCATCATGCTGGCATTTTTGTTTTGGGTTTTTCCTGATGATCTTTCTTTGAAGATGTATCTTCTGTCACTGTAGCTGTTCCAGTCTGCTTGTCCTTTCTAGTGGGAATGTCCTACCTCATAAGGTTCTGGATGGAACTCAGGATTCCACCTAAGGTCCTATACTCTGTAAAGGCTTTGCACCAAAGCTATTTCACTGGGCAAGTTCTAGAAACCCCTTTGCGGTATTCCAATCAGTTATAGGCTGAAGATGGGCTTACAAGTTTTCTCTAATCATGTTTCCCAACATTCCTTTCTATCCCATTCAAGTGTCTATTTTACAATAGTAGTCAAGGGAAACTAATATTTGTAAGACAGTCAAGCATTTTAGTATTATTACCCTTCTTCAAGCTATACCTAGATCCTTGGATCCCAGAGCCCTGTTGTTCCAAGTTTGAGCATGCATTACTATTTACCTCTGTCCCACTTAGGACTTGCAAACCTGTATCAGTGTTCCCCTATCTATCTTGTCCTTCCGCCTCCTCCCTGTTCTTGTATTGCCCTCCCCAACACCCGAACTAAACCCCCCACCCCAACCCCATTGTTGTGGTTACCTTATATTCCATTAATTCTTCCCTCCATTTAAGACAGTCTATTTTACCCTGTAATCTACCTGACCTTCCCACTACCTGGATCTCTGTTCCTCTGTGTTTACCTTCTTTCACATTGTTAATTGTTTGATCATAGACTGACCTCCCAGACCTCTGTTCTTATAATTTTATTCTGTTCTTGACTCTTCCATTTGTGGATTGAGTTCACGGTGATGCTGCCACATATGTCATTTTGTAGTTGTTGTCTGTCCTTGTTGGTTCTCAGTCCACAGAAATTCCTTTAGGATATTTTTCATAGCAGGGTTGGCTTTGGCAAAATCCCTTCACTTCTGTTTATCCTGGAATGTTTTGATTACACACCGTATTTGATTGACAGCTTTGCTGGGGGGTTTTCTTTCAGGGTTTTATATATGTCTCCCCATTGTCTTCTTGCTTGCATGGTTTCTGTTGAGAGATCCGAGCTTAATCTGATTTGCTTGACTTTGTATGTTAAACTTCTCTTTTCCCTAGCTGCTTTCAGGATTCTGTCCTTATCTTTGATTTTGG